TCCATATTTTCCAGGCGGGAAGCTGAGATTTCCTACGGAAAGTCTAAGGAGTAGAATTGTCTTAACTCTGTGTCTGAGCAGCACCCAGCACACTCAGAACCTGCCTTATTATTCAAACTTTGGGGCAAAAATATCCAAGAAAAAAAAAAAAAACATGATTATAGGATTTGACTTCACATTTATCCACAACTAAAAGTGTTGAGTGGAAAATAAGTCGGGAAATGTCCCTCATCCCTGACTTGGGAATGTTCTGTTGGGTCCTTGTTAGACCTTGGACTGAGCACAAGGATCTTGAGATAAGCTGGGATCACAACCAGGTTTGCTCCGGAGCTTCAGGGATAAAAAACTAAATTTTATCTGGACAATGTGGCTTTTTTTGGGAAAGAGCTTAGGAATCATCCTTGGAATTCCTCTGCCACTTGTTTTGTTTTCTTTGCTCCAGCTCTTTACGAGATCCTTCCATCCTTGTGGGAGCCCTGAACTTGGCTACTGAATCCATGGAAACATCCGGAGTGCACCCGAACGCTGGGAATGGCGAAGTTAGGCAGAAGGACAAGAGAAGGAATTTGTTTGTAATTGGCATTAAAAACAAAATAAAATAAAATAAAATAAAATAAAATAAAATAAAATAAAATAAAATAAAATAAAATAAAATAAAATAAAATAAAATTCTTGGAAATCCAAAGAGGGGATGGGGAGATCACACGATCATGGAATCATGGAATGGGTTGAGCTGGAAGGGACCTTAAGGATCATCCCATTCCACCCCCTGCCATGGACAGGGACAATTTCCACAATCCCAGGCTGCTCCAAGCCTTGACCAACCTAGCCTTGGACAATTCCAGGGATCCAGGGGCAGCCACAGCTGCTCTGGGCACCTGAGCCAGGGCCTGCCCACCCTCAGAGCCAGGAATTCCTTCCCAAAATCCCATCCAAGCCTGCTCTCTGTCAGTGGGAAGATGCTCCAGTTCAGTCCCACTCTGGGAAGCAAGGATTTGGGAACAGTCGGTGTCCGTCTGTCAGTCTGGAGACACTGCCTGAGAACTGGGTTTGTGGGAATGTTCAGGACAAGGAATCACTGAAGAGAGCAGATAAAAAA